CAGCTGTTCCTGCTCCCTGGAAGCTCCCCCACCATCCCCAACCTGTCCCTCCGCTCACCCCTCACAGAGAAGAGGGAGGGGACCAGAATTTCCCCACTTTCCGAGTCCCTGGGTCTGACACACAGCAGTCACTCAACAAACTCTTCTGGACTCACATCATTATTATGTTTATGACATATATTTTCCACAGCAACGGAAGGCATGTTGATTGTAATAAACATTCGCTGACAGAGCTGTTAAACCCTGAAGCCCTCACTCTCCTAAACAGCAAACAGTTCTTTCAGCTCCTGGTCAGTTCCTGACCCGGATGCAAAATGGGGACACTGAGGACAGCATGCAGCCTGCCCCAGGAGCTCACAGCCAAGGGCAGACACAGACCATGACGGCTCTGGAACACTCCACGTACTTTGTCAAAGAACGAATTTGACTCCCTCTCTGGAGCCCAGGAGCTGTGATCAGGGGTAGGACCCTGCACCTGTCAGCATCAAAGTGTCACCTACAGATGGGTTGAAAAAGAACAGATTCATCTCTGGCCTCTCAGTGGCCGTGCTGACCAGGAGTGACATCAATGCACAATGTGGGTAGGACATGTCCCCAGACTCTGGGACCAGCAGGCAGAGGAGGAGCCCCTGGGCTTAGGGCGCAGTCTCAGGGCCGCCACTCCCTCTCTGGGTCCCTGGGGACTGAGCCCTTCTCTGAAACCACAGAGCCCCTCAGGCCGCCCCCTGGATGCTGGCTGCTTTGCATACCCAGCAGCTCTCCCTCCAGCAAGGGGATAAGAGAGGCCTAGGGGGAAACCTGCCCAGCCTGACTCTCGGGGAACAGAATCGGGGCACCTCCACCATGGCCTGGATGCCCCTCCTCCTCAGCCTCTTGGCTCACTGGACAGGTGCTGCCCCCAGGATCACATCCACACCCGCCCAGGGCTGGGGACAAGCCTGGCTCTGACTGAGCTCAGAGGGGAGCTGCCAGTGGGGGCAGGAGGCTGGTGGTCCTGCTGCAGGATAAGGGGTTGGAAGCGATGACATCCCATACTGTGCTCAGTGCTGTGTGAGCCCTGAGGGGCTGCACCTGCCAGAGGAAGGGGGCAGGTTTCTCATTTGTTCAGGGGCTCCATCCACCAGTCAAGCCCACGGGGTCACTGGGGGCGAGACTGATGGGAGGGGCCTCTGGGGGGCCCAGGGAATCCCTGGGGCTCAAAGCATGTCAGCTGCTGGGGTTTCCTGGGAAAAGGTCCTTCATCTTCAACCCAGGTATCCTTTCTCTCCTGCAGGCTCTGTGGCCTCCTACGAACTGACTCAGTCACCCTCAGTGTCGGTGGCACTGAGACAGGCGGCCAAGATCACCTGTGGCGGGGACAACATTGCAAGTAAATATGCTCACTGGTACCAGCAGAAGCCAGGCCAGTCCCCTGTGCTGGTCATCTACAAAGATAGCAACCGGCCCTCAGGGATCCCTGAGCGGTTCTCAGGCTCCAACTCCGGGAACACGGCCACCCTGACCGTCAGCGGGGCCCAGGCCGAGGACGAGGCCGACTACTACTGTCAGGTGTGGGACAGCAGTGCTAATGCTCACAGTGACAGAGGCAGATGGGGAAGTGGGACACAAACCTCCCAGCCTGGACTGGTGCTCACCCCAGTCTCCTTTGAGCAGTGGGAAGTCAGGCTGAGGCCCGGGTATCCTCTCGGGTTCTGGCCCCGCTCCTCCAGGGCTGCAGACACTGGCCTTTCAGAGCCGAGGTTTATCCTGATAAAAAGGGAGAAGGTAGCTGTTCTGGGTTTCAAAGGCTGCAGTCAGGATTGGGAGGAAAGGAAAGGTTTAGGATCACGATGTGTGACTGTGGCCCCAGTTGTGATCACGGGTCTGTGGGAGAGGGGGGCTGTGTGAGATGGCGGGGTTCTGGGGGAATCCTTCTCCTCTGGGAGGAACCTGCTGGATGAGGCCTGGGACGAGGTCCTGTGCTTTCCTGCATGAAGAGTCCCCACGTCCTGGGGGCTACCTGAGGACCGGAAAGGACTGAGCCCCAGCCCCTGACCCCAGGGCCCTCCTCCCCTGAGATGTAGCACAAACTGTAAAGATAGGGCGGACCTGCCATGGGCTCCTCCTGCAGAACTTCTCCTGGACACACGGTCCTCCTGTTGGACCCCAGGACCAGAGCCCCCAAAACTACCGTCTGATGGGTACAGACCTTCTGTTTAAGGAGATACAGATCATATTATCCAGGCTTCTCCAAGACACACAGCCAATAGGGTACAGAGATGGATTAGGAGGAATTGTTCGATAAGGTTCTGGAGGCTGAGAAGTCCCAAGGGGCACCGTCAAAGGGGAACCCACGAGGACCTGTGTGTGATTCTGCCCCAAGGCCTGAGATCCAGGGAGGCAGACATGCCTCTCATCCAGGGCACGTGGGTGACATCCCAGGGACCCCCAAGGAGGAGATGTTCTGCCTCCTCCACCATTTACTCTTCCCAGGACCCCAGGGATGGGATGGAGCCCACCCACATGGAGGGGCCATGTGCTTCTCTGAGCCCCAGGGTCTAAAGGCTAATGCTCTTCTAAAACAGCCCCAATACCCCCTGAAATGAGTAACCAGTGGGACCTGCTTGTCCAGCCAAGTGGACACACGAATTCAACCATCACGGTGGTTAGTGACACATTGCATGGATGGGTATTTTACTATAGTTTTTTTAAATTGCTGAGTCTGAAAATAAAGTACAGGAAATGATTTTGAAGTCCTTTCACCAACAAAACAGGAGAAAGAACGGGGCAGTGATCACCATTCACCCTCTCCCTGGACAAAATAGGTGGGGTCACTGGTGCCCCATACAGTGTCTTTCTCGCTCTCCATATTCTACATATTCCAG